TGAAGTTTAGAAACCCAGCTCACAGCTCCTTCTGCAATTATGAACACATAGCCTGTATTGAATTTTCTTTTCTCAAGTTCACCAGCAAAATCTGAGTCAACATAAACTCTGACAGTAAATTATGATCCTCTATAACATAATACAGCATTTGAGGTACCTTTGATGTATCTCGAGATCCTTTTAATAGTATTCTAATGCTTTTTACTAAGATTTGCCATGTATCGACTGGCTGCTCTCACTGCTTGTGCAATGATTGGTCTTATACATATCATGACAAACATTAAACTTCCCACTGTTGATGCATACGGTACTCGAGACATCTCCATCCTCTCTACTTCATTACTAGGAGATATGCTTGAGGATAATTTGAAGTTAATAGGAAGTGGGGTGGAAATTGGCTTACAATCTTGCATGTTGAAGCGTCGCAAGATCTTCTTCAAATAATTCTTTTGAGAAAGCCAAATCTTCCTCTTACTTCTGTCTCAGTGAATTTACATCCCTAGAATCTTGTTTGCTGGTCCCAAGTCCTTCATATCAAACTCCCTAGCTAACTATGCCTGTAATTCTTAGACTCGATTTTTGTTAGGGCCTATCACTAACATGTCATCCACGTACAATAACAAAATAATAAAATCTTCTTCAAACCTCTTGTAATACATAAAATGGTCTGAATTGAGTCTGTTGTACTCAAGGTTAATTATAAAGGAATCAAATCTCTTGTACCAACACCTTCGCGCCTGTTTGAGACTGTATAGAGATTTGTTCAACCTGCAAACCAAGTTCTCCTTTCTTGTTTCAGCAAAGCCCTCTGGTTAGAGCATATAAATTTCTTCTTCAAGTTCTCCATGAAGAAATGCAGTTTTCACACCTAATTGCTCTAAGTGAAGATCAAATATAGCACACATTGCTAAGACTACTCTGATTGTAGTAAGTCGTACCATAGGAGAAAATATCTCATTGAAGTATATTCCTTCCTTTTGAGCATATCCTTTCACCACAAATCTTGCACGATATCGCTCCACTTGATCATTGTCATCACACTTTATCTTATAAACTCATTTATTACTAATGGCCCTTCTTCCTTGTGGTACTAGAACAAGATCGCAAGTATTATTCTTGTGCATAGCTTCAATCTCCTCTTGTATTGTTGTCATCCACAAAGATACGTCTGTGTTTTTTATAGCCTCGTGGAAAGTTGATGGCTCTCCATCCTTTGTTAGAAGATAATATGCAATGTTACTCTTAGTACCATATTCTGAGTGTCAGGCCGATAGTCTTCTTTCACGAGCCGACCGCCAAACTTCAGGAGTTTCAGACTCTATTTATTCTTGCTCTTCATGATTTGTTGCAGCTTTAAAAAAAGTATGATTCTGGGTATTTTCTATCTGGATTGTTGTAGTCTCTTTTAAAATGCTATTATGTTCTTCCATTTGTATTTTACCTTCTACAAATATGACATCTCTACTGATGACTACCTTGTGGGTAGTGGAATTCCACAAGGATACAACCGGTGCTTGCCATACATCATAGTAAATCAGGTCTAAGATGCATTTGCTCTTAGTTGTTGATGTGCCAAACTTCAACCTATGTTGTTTACTTGTAACACAGTGCTCATAAAAAGGTAAAGTAACCTTTGTAAGACAAAGAGTAACTTCTGATAAGAGAAGACCTTTAAACCTTTCTTTGACATGTGGCCTAGTTTTTATACCACATCATCGTTTTATCTTCTCAGGACTGGCTGATGCGATTGGAACTTCTGCCCTATGATGTGTTTCTCCAATTAATACAAACATATTTGCAATTGTCTTTCTTGCCTTTAGAACCATTAGTGCTCCTTTGACAATTTTCATTATTCCATTGTTTGTTCAGATCTTACATATTTGCAATTGTCTTTCTTGCCTTTAGAACCATTAGTGCTCCTTTGACAATTTTCATTATTCCATTGTTTGTTCAGATCTTACAGCTAAGACTATCAAATTGTCTTATAGACAAAAGATTTTTCTTTAAATCTTTCACATGTAACACTCTTGAAATAGTATGAATTAAGCCATCATACATCTTTAATTTGATGGTGCCAATGTTAACAATCTCTAAAGCATAATTATCACCCATAAACACTTCACCTTTAGAGATGGGTTCATATGTATGGAACCAATCTCGATTAGGAGTCATATGACACGTTGCTCCTGAATTCATTAGCCAGACCCTAGTGAGTTCTTCTCTATCTATAGAGATTGTCGCTGGTTCACTATATAAAATCTCTCCATTTTCTGAGATGCTTACAATACATCCTTGAGGTTTTGATAACTCTGTAGTATTCTCTATACCTTTTTTAAACCAACAATCCCTTGTGAAGTGCCCTTTTCTACCACAGTTATAGCATTTCACAGTCTTTTTACTTCTTGATTTGGACCTCCCCTGCCTTTAACTCCCATTGGAGTCACGCTTCGTTGATCTTCCTCTTGACACCAACAATGCCTCTACTTGGTTTGAACTGTTTCTGTATCCTTTGTTTTTGCGCTTATTTTCTTCTTCCAAGATAGCGGCTGCAACATCATCAAAAACTAAATAGTCTGAGAAGATATTATTGGTCAAGTTGATAATAAGCTGATCATACGAATCAGGAAGACTTTGAAGTAGAAGCTCTGGACGTTCATTTTCCTTTATTTGTTGACCCAACGTAGTGAGTTATGAAAATAGAGTTCTTATGGTTTCTGCCATTTGAAGGGTATCTTATGGTTTCTGCCATTTGAAGGGTATAAAATCTCCGCTTTAAGAAAATCTTATTGTGTAAGGACTTTGACTTGTATTGCTTTGTTAGAGTCTCTCATATCTCCTTAGTTGTTTTCTTCTCTGCCACACTTGATAATACTTCATCGGCTAATGCTAAATATATGTTAGCAAAAGCATTGCCATCCATTTCATTCCATTTTGCATTATCAATGATCCCTTCAGGTCGATCCCCAATTACTACCAAGCAATTGTCTTTCCTTAAGATTGCTTTGATTCTCATTTTTCATAGTGAGAAATTACTCCTATTAAACCTCTCAATCTCATACTTTGCCACCATTATATTCACTGAGATCTATTCAGCTATCACTGTTTCACTGATCTACAATGTATACAGAAATAGTATCGTGTGAATAATACTTCACTAAGTAAGTTCTTAGGAAAGATTGGAGGGGTCACAAATGGTCCTGCTTAAAACCCAATCTTCTAAGACAGAACTTCCTAGATTGTATTTAATCATCGTATTGACTTTTTATATACGCCAACAGTAATGTATGTGAACAGTACTGTATGGATGAATAGTGCTGCATAGGTAAATAGTGTCGTAGACGTGAATAATAACCGCATACACGAATAACTTTTGTGTATTAACAACACCAACCAGGAAGGCTTTGATATCACTGTTAGGATACTGGCATATAAACCTGATAAGATAAAGGGCAACGAATAAGATAAAATAAAAAATGAGACACACAAGAATTTATGTGGTTCATCCAATTGGGCTATGTCCACATGTAAGTATAGAAGAATTTTACTAAGTAATATGAGAATTATAACCTTTTTTAAATAATAGGAGAACAACTAAGAGAAAACACCTCATTTACTCTCTCTTCACTCTCTTCTTCTTCTCTCTATCTTGGTGTGCAAAATAAGTTTGAAGGCATTGTCTATTTATAGGCAAGAGTGGGGATAAATGTCATAAATCATGACACCAATTATGCCACAAATTATGCCAACAACTCATCTCCCCTCATACTCCCCCAATTAGGCCAACAACTCCACCAATTATGTTAACAACTCACCTCCAATTATGCCAACAACTTCACTCATTTTTGTCTTCCACCAATTAATTAAGTGGTGGCTTTACATACGATTATGGTGTGGAGCTGGAAGGTTGATGTCGGCTGGGGGGAGAATGGGCTTGGGTTCCGTGAAAGGGAGGGGAGACCTATTTCGGTCGGCGGTAGAGAAGCAGAAGGAGAAGTTGAAACAACCAGCAAAAAGGGAGAGTGAGGGTGAACGACTCTGCCCTTTTTTGGTCTTGGCTAGCTAGCGGCTAGTTTAGGAGGGAAGGTTTGGTGAGGGAGAAGAAGATGTGGACGATTGTGCCTTGGAAAGGGAGAGGAGCACCTGGAGGAGAAGAGCGGCCAAGGATGAAGAAAATGATTTTGGATATTGCCCTTTACTGTGTGTGTTTGTGTTGTGTAATTTTTATTTATAGATAAAATGTTGTTAAGTAACGAATTTATCCCTTAATTTTTTTTATTATTATATTTTAATTTTTTTAAAAATAAACAATATTTACATAAACCCAACAAGAAAAATTAATTATTTAAAAAATAATATATTAAAAATCTTTTAAAAAATTAAATTATTTTAAGATGATGTTAAAAATACTAAAAACAATATAAATATATTAAGATCATATCTTTGTGAGTTTTGATTGTTTTCTTGTTTTTTTTTAATATTAGATAAAAAATAAGGTAGGAACAGCATGAATTGAAATTGAATAATAAAAACCATATAGACTTAGAATTATATTTGTCCGGGAGTGTTATTGTTGTAGAATTTGGATTATGACCGATCTTTTACATAAATATATTTTTAGGCCCATTTTCCTTTATATGATCTTGAGTCTTTTTTATGAACTACTACATGCATAACAGAATCGTGAAGTTACAATATTTATGTATGTGACTCTTAACGATATTTAATGATATTCTTCAATGGTTTGTGTAGGGTGCTTAGGAATTGCTCAATAAGTGGTGAAATCCCCCCGTACATTGGTGATTGGTCAAGGTTAACATACCTGTAAGTTTCATCTCCTCTTTTGTAAACGATTTGTAGTTCTGTCATGGCTATTTTGTTTCATAAGCTCTATAGATGCTCATTGTTTAGGGCCTTTAGGCCATGCATAGGAAGTGTTGATGATTTTGATTATGTGTTTACAGAATCAACTATGCAATAATTTACCATAGCACAACAAATATCAAATATGTAGGATAACGATTGCTTTCATTTTATTGATCCTGCAGAGACTTGAGCTTTAACAGCTTAACTGGTGGAATACCAAATTCCATGAAAATGAAAAAGCTGAATTTAAGTAAGATGTACGCAAAAGAGATTCCTTGAACTCGATGCCTTCTAATTAGTTCGTTCTGCCACTCTGTTAAAAAATACATGGGATGGTTTTCACAGTGGTTTGTTTTGTTTAGGTTTCCTACAGGAAATATGCTTAATGGCACAGTAACTTCCTGGGTTCCTGATACCATTCAAGACAAGGCGTATGTTATGGCTTTGTGCTCTTTGCTCAGATGGGTTGTTTTCCCTTTTGTAGATTTCCTCAATAAAATCTTGATATGTAAACAATAATGTTGCAGGGACTTGTCATATAATAATTTTGAAATTTCACGTGATGGTCCGAAGATAGGAGAAGGAAAGCTGAACATGTAATAACGGCTACTTCATTTTCTTCTTCCTTTTTTTTTTCACTTGCAAGCATATTATTGTCTATGAAATCCCATCTTCTGATCATTTTGTATAATGTGCACCAACTGCTTGTTAGGTTGGTTGCCATTAATGTGCAACAACCATTTGCTATTGCACCAACCATGTGCACTCATCCAAGATGTCAAAGGTTGGCAGCCACCATTGTTGAAGAAGAGTTGGAGTTGGCAGCCACCTTTGTTGAAGAAAAGCCTCCATGAATGCCTATAAATAGAGGCATATGCAAGAGAGCAAAATGAGTGAAGAGAATTATGAAAATGTGAAGAG